AAAACCACGTCAGCTCCCTCAATCCTTCTGTTCTTCGTTAGTTTTCTCTCGATATACAGATAACTGCCGCACGGCAATGTGTACAGATCCTGTTGCTGTATGGGTATTCTTATCTCGTCGCTGTACCCAAATGTCGTGTTGGCGAACGGATTGTACGCGTGAGTCTCGATTTTGACGATACGATCATCGAAGATCGGCTCATCTCCGACGTTCAGGATGCCGGTCATCATCAATGGCGTCGCACCGCGAATCCCAGAGTTTGCAAAAATTTTGCGTTCGACGCGGTGAGTCTCGTGTTCCTCGTCCGACTAGACAAATGAGCGGTGTTGACGTAACTGGCCTTGCGTTATCTCTCTGCTCGTTCAGCACGAGCATCTCACGCTCGCTCGCGATTAGCGTCGTCGCACGTGCAATCGGACGGTGATCTTTTCTTCTCGAAAATTGATCAATCGCCCGTTCTAATCGACGCTACGCGTATCGTTAGATCCGTTACGTTCCGTACGATAACCGGCAGGAAAATGATCTGCGACGGCCTTTCCGACAATTTATATCCTATTTATATTTATATCCGCTGGCACGCTTGGTGAAAATTCGTGGATCGTGTGCGCGCTCTTGCCGTTGCTGTACGCACCCGCGGTCACGTTGCACTCCACACTGATAATGTTTACGTTCATTATGTTGATCGACTCGTCCGATTCGTGCCTCAGTCGCGGTTGCAGTACACGTAGCGGTGAGAATCCCAGCAGCGTCCGATATTGTTGGGCTTGCTAAAGTTTATTCTATAGGTGCACCAGATCTCACATCTCATCGTGTGGTTTGCGCGGAGCACTATCGGATAGTCATGGTCGGCGTTGCTCCAGTCGGACGTTCCACCTTTCCGTTGCAGAATCTCGCTTTTCAAAAAAGCTTCGATCGCTCGCAGTTCGTACGATCTCTCGGGAATCGTGATTTCCGTGTCGTCGAAGTAAAACTTATTATTCGAGGCGTTCACGTTCGGTATCGTGTTGTAAGTTCCGAAGATCGTCAGGCCGAGTTCGTAGTCGCCGTCGCTCAGATCTATGGGCGGAGAGTGGTACGCCGCGAGGACGCTGCTCCTCCCGCTCAGCGTAAATGTCATCGACATGATGGGAAACAGCGTTCGACTGAGAACTGGCGACACCTCGTCGAACTTTTTAAGGGTTTTATTTTTTTCAAAAGCGCGTCGTTAGAAGAAACTGCAGACACAGCTGTCCGCAGATGTTCTGATCGTACGTTTGATAGAACGTTCGATTGTACTCGATCATAACAGCACCGTCCCCGAAATATCGCACCAGTTCCCTAGGAGGTCGAAGATTGCCGAAACTGTCGAAATACGCGACGTGATCGGTTCTCTTCGCGTACGCCATCCAATGAGTACCGGAACCCGTCGCGTCGTCCACATTCATGATATCGCTCTCGTTTCGACGCGCCACCACTCGGTAACACGTTACGCATGAAAATGCCTCTGAAGTACGGTACGCGATCCGCGCCAGCCGGTCCAATTGTACGTTGGTAGTCGCACCCCTGGGCATCGTTAGCGTTTTTTTGACGTTTTTTTTTCCTTCCTTTTTTTCGCCGCTGTTGTGCCCCGACCATATTTGTACGGAGCGAAATGCAGTCCCCGTCCGTGTCTGTACGAAGCGAGGTGCAGCCCCCGTCCTTCTATTGCGCAATTGTGGCGTTGCAGCTCCTCGAGTTGACGGCTTTGCTGGCGTTTACCGTTTTCACCACGCTGGCCGCTCCGCCGATTAGGGAGCCGATCGCGCCCAGCGCGCCCAGAATCGGTAGCACGCCGCCTCGTTTTGCTAACGGAAGTACTCGTTTCTTCACCGTTTTTCTCTTGCGCGTTTTCGCTTTCATACCCATGCCGATCTTGGTCTTGGCTTTCATCGCAGCCCAGACTGCAACAGCTGCGACTCTCTCACCCAGAGCCGAATCTCTCGCGACAACGCATCCCAGGGCTCTCCTGGCGAGTACCTCGTCCGCCGCGTGTCTATCGGTGAGATCGCTGCTACAAGAATACGCGACATCGTGTTCGCGGCACGCCGCGTCCAATGGATTCACATCCGTGTCACCTCTGGCCAATCGTTTCAGCAGACGAGTGCCCGGGCCGCAAAACTGATAGCCGGGGATATGTAGCTCGAACGGAAGTGCGTTGATCGCGCGATTCAGCAAGCCGCTGCTCCCCGCTGACATTTGCCGCAATCCTTTATCCGTGGCGCTGTCGCGGCAGATTGTAATGATCGAGGCAGCGACGATAGGTTCGCACCTCCGAATCCGCCTTTATGTGCTCCGGCAGCCGGTCCCACACGTGCTCGATATAGTCACCGAACACGCGCAACAGTACGATCTTCGGTATATATTGCAACTGCTCGGCGCTCTAGGTGAGAACGTCGGAGGGATGCGTTACCGCAAGATACTTGTTTGGTATTGAGCGATTCGCGATTTCGCGCGCCTATAAATAGACGGCCAGGTATAGTTCATGTACGCAAAGAACCATGAGATTCGTGCGACAGCCGTTGGCGATACGCGTTACGAACTGCGACGAGAGATCGCGAGCGACGGGGGGCGGCGTGACGGAGCGCCGGCACGGCGAACTGCTGCCGAACACCATACGCGCGATCGTGTGCGGTCCATCGAATTGCGGAAAAACGAACGTGCTCGTGAGCCTGCTCGAGAGTCCGCACGGTATGCGTTTTGAGAACGTGTACGTTTACTCGAAATCGCTGCAACAGCTAAAGTATCGGTATCTCGAGCGATTGCTGACATCGATCGACGAGATTGGCTAGTTCACGTTCTCCAATTGCAGCGATGTTCCGCCGAACGAGGAGCTCCCCAACTCAATCTTCGTCTTCGACGACGTTGCGTGCGACAAGCAGGACACGGTGAGAGAATACTTCTCGATGGACCGCCACTCGAGCGTCAATTGCTTCTATCTCTGACAGACGTACGCGAGAATACCGAAACATCCGATACGCGACAACGCGAACCTGCTGATCCTGTTCAAACAGGACGGTACCAATCTGAAGCACATTTACAACGATCACGTGAACACCGATATGTCGTACGAGGATTTCGGCGATTTGTGCCGCACCTGTTGGCGGCACAAGTACGGATTCCTGGTGATCGACAAGGACAGTCCGCTCGACAACGGGCGATACAGAAAAGGATTTAACGAGTTCGCGGTACCGTAGAACAATAAGTCAACGTCGATGTGTCACCTGGACAACACACAATGGACGCTAACATCAAGGATCGCGAGAGAATAGCGAAGCAGATCGCGAAAACAAGCGAGTCGATTTGCAAGAAGCATCGCGCTCTGAAAACTGGTAGAATAGACGAGGATATCACGTTGGAGATACGCTTTAAACCCATCGTCGAACCTCTGAAACAGATCGCCGAGCATGCCGTTGGCGAAAAATCGATCAAGAGAGAGGCCGACGCAGCGACAAGTGTCAAGAGAGAGACCGACGCAGCGACGAGTGTCAAGAGAGCCGAGACCGACGCTGCGACGAGTATCAAGAGAAAGAAGGAAAGCGTGGATAGCGATACCGAAGATGACGACAAATGGTTCAGAGTCGCGTCAACGTCTAAGCAAACGCCGCGCAAAATGCAAAAAAAATGGAACGTCGCGTTACCCACGCTCAGTTCTGTGTCAGCGATAGAACCGCCGGCGGATGCATCAACGGAACAACCGACGGTACTACCGCTGGAGGAGTTCTTTGCGTCGACATCTTTACCTTCGCTCGAAACGACCGTCAGAGAAAGCATGCGATCGCGACGGAGTCGCGATGCGTTGCACAGTCAACTGGGGCTGCTCGGGCAAAATTACATGAACCTGTTCCTCAGTCAGGACAAAAAGAGAGAGATCACTCGAACGGTATCTATTTCGGCAACGATGGATGTTTGATGCTCGACAACAAACAATTCAATCTTGAAAAGGACGATGCTATACTCGTGGACAATGTGAGGTACCGCGGCACGCCAGGATTGTACGAATTGATCTTCATGAAAAAGCCCGATAGACGATTACCCTTCCCGACAACATGACGTACAAGAGTATAATTATGGCAATGAACCTATACAACCGTGCCTACAAAGTGGGCGAACGCATCAGGGGCAACAGGGGAACGAAGTACACGGAATTTATCAAGCTACTCATATCCGAGCATCTGAAACGTAGAAA